AACTGAACTCTTATTTATTTATGTATTTATATTTTTGGTTTTTGGTTTTTTGGTTTTTTGAGACCTTGAGAGTCTTGCCACACAGTTCAGGCTGGATTTGAGCTCACTTTGTAGCCCATGCTGGTCATGAACTAGCAATGATCCTCCTGCCTCAGCCTCCCAAGCACTGGGATTGCAGGTGTGCACCACCATGCCTGGCCTTGTAATGGACTTGTGCCCTCAGCAGACCCTGTTTTCCTCCTTCCCACCCCTGGCCACTGCCATTCTACTTTATGCTTCTAAAAAGTTAAGTGTTTAGATGTATCATATACATAGAATCATGTGGAATTCACCCTTCTGTGACTGGCTAATTTTACTTAGTATAACATTGTCGTGTTTTATCCGTATTGTAACACATGACAGAGTTTCCATCCTTTTTAAGGCTAAATAATAGTCCATTGTATGTATCTATCACATGTTCTTTATCCGTTTCTCAGTGGACATTTGTATTGCTTCTACAGGTTGGTTGCTGTGAATAGTGCTGGAAATGAGCATGAATCCTTGATAAATACTGATTTCAATTTTTGAGCATAAACACCTAGAAAAGCAGGATTTTTGGATTTGTGTAATAGCTTTATTTGTTTATTCTTTGAGTAACTTTCATGCTGTTTTCTGGAGTAATTTCACCATTTGCATTTCATCAGCACTACACAGTTCCAGTTTCACTGCATCCAGTCTAAAATGCTTCTTTTTTTTTTATAATAGTTACCAAAATGTATGAGATGATCCATCATTGTGGCTTTTTATTTGAAATTTTCTGATAATTACTAATGTCAAGCATCATTCATATTCATGTTGGCCTTTTGTATGTATTCTTTGGGGGAAATGGGCAGTATCTGTTCAAAGAGTAAGTTCTTTTTAAAATCAGATTATTAGGTTTTGTGCGGGGGTTGCCATTGAGTTATAAGAATCCTTTACATGTTTTGAGGATTAACCCCTTTATCTGATAATCTGATACATAGTTTGCAAATATTTACAGTCATTCCATATGTAACTTTTTCACTCTGTTGATAGTTTCTTTTCTGTGAAGAAGCTTTTTAGGTTGATACAGTCCTACTTTTCAATTTTTGCTTTTGATTCCTGTGTTTTGGTGTCACATCCTTGAAATTCCAATCCTCTTCTATACTTTTATGTACATACAGATGCAGGATAGTGTGTTGACAAAAGAGAATGACTGGTGGGTGAGAGAGCCAATTTTCTGTTCCTGATGTGGTTATTAACATCTACAGGATGAATTAATTTTTGTAGAAAAAATTTAAAAATCTAATTTTTTATCATTCATACCTAAACTGTTTTGACAGCTAAATGTATTTTCCCTTTAAAGTCATCAGTTGGGTTTCACTGGGCAGTGTAGTTAACTGAATTTTTTTCAAAGCAGGTTTAAGGATTAACCCAGGTCCTCTGGACTGAACTACATCTCAAAATCTTTTTTTAAAATTTTGTAAAAAAATTTCAAAACTTGGGACTGGGGATTTAGCTCAGCGGCATAGGCATAAGCGTGTGCCTGGCAAGCGTGAGGTCATGAGTTTGATCCCTGGTACCAAAAAAAAAAAAAAAAAAAAAAAAAAAAAAAATTCAAAAATAACATTAAAAAAATTCTTAAAATTAAAAAAACTTAAAATTTTTTTAAAATTAAAAAACCTTTAAAAAATTTTTTTAATTAAAAAAACTTTTTTTTTTTTTTTTTAAGTTTTGAGAATGAGTATTGCCAAGCTTCTGATTTCCTTACACTGGGCTCAAATCTGTGTTTCTTCTACCTTAGTTTCCAAAGTACTGGAACTATAGGTATCTAAATCCACCTAGCCACGTTGTCACTAGCTGTATTTGCTATCTTTTGAATAGCTATGTAGGAATGGTAAAGGATATTATTTTAACATATACTCATGTATGATATATTTATAATTTACAAGTAATTATTTGATGCATGTCACAAATTCTCTTTCCTAGGATGCAGTTTCAAAAAAATCATTTGGCCGTTTATTTTGCTGTATGGAAGTCTTCATTTTAGTTATTCCAATGTATTTTTTCTTTTTTGGTGTGAGTTCTGTAGCATGCTTTGAAGCACTTCCCCTCAGTAGTCCATTTTAAATTTCCACTGTGTTACCACTTATTACCTCTCATGACTTGCTCTCTTCTTTGGCCATGTGTTTAATAATCTTGCTCCTTCCTTACTGAAGGTACGTGCGGTAATCCAGTGTGTGTGTGCACACACACCCATACCCTCACACGCGCTCCATCTGGAATACACATTGGGATAAGCCGTTAGGTAAAGATCTTACTTTATTTTTCCAGATGCCTATCCCTAGTTGTTCTAACCCATGTGTTGCATGCTCTATCTTTTCCATACTAATATGTAATGACAGATATATTCTTAAAACCAGACTTTTGTGCAAGAAAATTTTCAGATAAACCTGTATCTCACCATCGCCTCCCAGCAGTAAATAAACCCTCTCATAGCTTTAAAGTTGCTCTCTTCTCTAAATCCTAACTCTACCCACATCTGCATGACAGTTGCTAGTGCAGACCCCCTGGAATATCTCTACCCATTGCCTCCTTATGAGGAACAGGCTAGGGAAGGAGCTACATGAGTTGCTGATCTCAGAAATCAGCTTCATCAGCAAAGGGCCTTGAGGGTTGACGTAATATATCTGGGGAAAGCTGACTAACCCTGTGAATTTATTTCACCTATGAACTCAGTCCAGTGCTCAGAAAGTGGTCAGAAAAATGGTAAAGAAGTCTGAGTTCCTAAGAGGCTGGCCACCAAATGTAGCCTTCATGCCGTGACAGCTGTCCAATTTCCTTCTGACATCAATGGAGCGAGATTCATTTCTTTGAGATAACTGAAAACTTTCACCTGCTCACAAGCCTGGTGAAATGCAAATGCAGTTTATTGACAAAAAGAATGGCTGTGAGGCAAGAGAGCCAGTTTTCCAGTCCTAATCAGACCTAAGTGTCAGAAGATCAGCTCAGTTTGAGTCTCCGTTTCCTTCATCATCTATAAGAAGGTAGTGGGACTATTTGTCTCTTAACTTCCAGCTTAGTATAAGACTATGATTCTGTAATACTCTGGTCTTTCCATGTGTTAATTTAAAATATTTTTACAGATAAATCAAGTGCTTTTTATGTGCCAAAAGTTACTGTGGTCACAGATAAATAAGACCATTATTTTGTTATAAACAATCACTATGTTTTGAATGTTACAAAAGGAATGAGCATATTTGGTAAAAAAACAAAAGATTTATACAATCTGAAGGGAAATGAGAGTACTGAATGAGTGTATTTGGAAGAAGAATGGAATAGATGAGTTGATGGGAATGGGGACCATACCTGTCTTTCTCTTCCAAATTGGAATGCCAGCTTTGTGATGTTCTGTGACTCACCATCAAGTTTATTCTAATGATTTTGCTCAACTTGAAGGACTCCTGGATTTGTGTGGGACTAACACTCTTAATGGAGATGGTAGTTCATAAATCTTTATTCCAGTGATGGCATTTTGAGTCTCTGTAGGGCTTTTTTTTTTTAAAGACTTACTTGAGGATAACTCCTAACAATATTTTGATACTATGCCCCTTCAGTAGCCTAGAAACAAACTAAGCAATCAAGGCCATCTCTCTTCCTATTTAAAATCATACAACACTTCTCCTTGATGGCTTCTTTTTTCTTAACTTACATTAACGAATACTATGCAAGAGAAACATTTAAAACATCTTGAGTCTATGAGTTGCTTACTATGTTTTGGTTAGGATGAAGGTAGAAAAAGCATTTTGGGCTAGAAAACTTGTTTTATACAGGATTAAAAAAAACCTCAACAACGTAGGAAAGAAAAATCAGTTGGTGCCTTAAATGAAAGGAAAAAAAATCAATTAACTTGAGTGAATGAAGACCCATGGGAGTTTGCCGAGCTGGGGATGACAGGTACAGAAAAGCGTTATAACGCATTCAGTGTGAAGGTCAAGCAAGCGAGACCTGAGGAAGGGTGTTAAGATTCCACTTTCTGAGATGCAGCATGCAGAAGATGTACCAAGACAAGAAGTGATCCATGTGTGCATGGCATGTTAAGCTTATGGTATTTGGCACTAAACACAACATTCATGTACATTATCTTCATGCTATACATTTACTTTTTCATAGATCTAAGAAATGCTCATTTATTACTTATTTATTTTTGTGCAATAAGAATTAGTAGGTAAGGAATTATATCTACCTAGGTCATTTTGAAAGGGTAAAAATAAGAAAGCAAAAACTGTATTTGTACTAAGATATAATTTTTGCCATCCATGACATACTGTAACAATCTCTTGAGGCAGCTTCTGAGAAGAGTGTCATTTTAGATGCTTGCCATGATGGCAGATAGGTGAGCAGTGTATTCTCAAGGACAGAGCAATAAAGGTAACTTTGGGAATCCATTGTACATCTAAATCAAGGGATATTTCAATGGAGTAGCTCTCTGTTGTTGGATGAATAACATTAGACAACAATTCACAGTGCCTGATAGGGAAGCAGAGATGCTGGCCTCGAGTCAAGCAGAGAAAAGGACTTAAAGAGGAAAGGAATTGATATGACAGTCTTATTCTATGAGTTCTCTACTAGGTTACACTTGTGCAGCTTCTCAAAATATTTAGACTGTTTTCAAGTCATATATTGTTACACATTCAAATTTACCAAGTTGCCCAAACTTCTTGCCCAAAACCAATGTATGCTACATGTTTTCATGGTGTTACATGTATACAGTCACCAACTCTCAAAATGAAAACTCTGTTAGGAGCAAATATCTTAGTATCCTGTGTGTGTAGTTTGCATTGAGAGAGATTCAATAAAAGTTTGTGGTCAATGGTGAGCCTAGTGTAAAGAATTCCACATTAAGTCATAATTGCCTTTGTGTTGGGAGCTTATATGTCAAAGGATGAAATCAGGCAGTGGAGAGTAAGAGTGTCTTATAGTAACAGCATAGAAATTTGTTGTATAAAACTGAAGCATAAGGAGAATAGAAGTTTGATCTTGCTCTGATGTCCATCCTTGAGAAAATGTCAACAGCAGATCTGATGGAGAATCTGAGGGAAGAACTCACTTGCTTCATCTGCTTGGACTATTTCAAAAGCCCTGTGACCACTGAGTGTGGGCACAGCTTTTGTCTGATGTGCCTCCTCAAGAACTGGGAGGAGCATAAAACACCGTTGTCTTGTCCTGAGTGCTGGAGGACTTTGGGGGGCCCTCATTTCCAGCCCAATGAGCGACTGGGGAGGCTGGCTAGCATTGGCAGGCTTCTCAGATCTCAGGTCCTGCAATGTGAGGACGATTTAAGCAACTGTGGGAGGATGGTGGCAGCCACTCGAATATTGAGTGATGACGAGCAGAGTATCACAACTTTGTCAACTCAAAGTCATGGAATAAACAGAGTACATCTTTCAAGTGAGGCTGAGGATCAGCACAAAGTAAGACAGGCTGTTATAACCCTTAGAACACAAATGCTGTTCCATCCATTAGCTCCCAGCATATACTGCATCAGCAACAATCATGGGTCCTCCTTACCAGCCACCACAGCAAGACTTGTGTGGCTCTTGTTTTTTCTCTTTGCTTGAAAGTCCAAGCCGTCTTCTAGTTATCAGTTTTCAATGTCTGTCCAGGATGTAGTGTTCAGTTCAGGTGCCATGGAGTTTTTTTCTATTACAGGAAAAGCTCCAAGAAATCCTAAATCTTTTGCATAAAAAGAAAAAGGAAGCTCAAGCTGTACTGACCCATGAGAAGGAGAGAATGATATTGTGTAAGGTCAGTGTCTCTCTTAATTTGGATCTTGTGTGTGATTCTGTGGGGTAAAAGGAACGATCGGGATGCCTGATGAGGTATTAGGGGAAAAGATGATTTTTTTCCCAGTCCTGGTCCTGCATTGTTCACTTTCTGCTTTGGGTTGTCAACCTGTACTTGCTCACCCGGGACTCTCATGACTCAGCTCTAAATTACCCACCCCGGACAGATTTATTTTTCCTTTTTTGTTCACCTAAGATACCTCTATTAATTATATTAATTTAAAATACAAGTTATATTTGTAGATATATAGCATATGATATAAATCAATTTTTAAAAAGGAATATTGAAAATATCTTGGGGCAATAAAGAATACAAATTAAAAAGAAATAGAAAGTAATATAAAAGCAAAACAGAAGTTTGAGTTATACCTGAATAAGTATCTGCAATTAGTCATGGATTTGGATTCATGTTGCCTCACAGTGAAAAGAAAGAACCAAATGTTAGATACAGAAATGTGGGTACCTGAGTCGCCTAATATACTCTGAATTGTTAAGGATGACTATTTGTAATGTGTGTTTTTATTGCTAGTAATATAATTCAATGTCTATTTTCATTAGTCAGTTCTTTGAATAAATACATTTTCATGATTTTTCTCCTTATTCAAAATGGCTTTATTTTTTAAATAATACTGTTGATTATCACCTGTTGTACTTTGGTGTTTAGTTTTGGATTCTTCTAGTAGAATGACAGCTCCTGGGCATAGACATTTTGGTTTTATTATCATTATCCATAGCAAACACACCTTTGAAAACATCCGACTCTTCACCCAGCTAGTCAATGGAAGATGCATCCTATGTATCGGCTTTCAGGGAGTGTCCCAGTGGGACTGTAGGACTTTGTGAGCATTAAAAAAAAAAAAACCTGTGAGTTGGGCACGGAGAATTCCCTTCCTAATTTTACTATTATTTGTGTGTATGTGTGCCTGTGTGATGGCAGGAAGAGACAAAGACTTTTAAACAGGTGGTCGTGTCTGAATATATGAAAATGCACCAGTTCCTGAAGGAAGAGGAGCAGCTCCAACTGCAACTTCTAGACAAGGAGGAAAGAGAGAACTTGGTGAAACTGCGGGATAATGAAATCAAGCTGACCCAGCAAGTCAGACACCTCAGCAAAATGATTGGGCAGATTGAGTCTACGTATGAGAACTCAGATTTAGATTCTTTTGAGGTGAGGCTAAAAGTCATGCAGGTATTACACAAATCAGTAGAAAAATAATGTGGTAACTCCTTTTCAAACTATGAGTAAAACATTTTAATTTACTCACCTGAAAAACGAAGTGCTGTCCAAAAGTTAGTTTTGCCAAAGAATTGACATCTATGTTAATAAAATCTGGAGAAAGTGGAAAGAAAAAAAAAGACAGGATACCTATCCCAGTCCAACTCAGGGTGTAATTTCTTCCACGCCTGCCCCTCTGTAGCCTTAGTATTGTCAAATATTTTATTAAGTTTATTAATGAGAATTTACTACATAAAGGGCGCATTAAATTTAATCTTCTCAAAGGCCTGATGAAGATGAGAACTTTTGTGATACAGACTGTAGACAATTGCCATCTATTAAGTGGGCATGTGGTATCACTTATTTAACAGCTCAGATCTTGGGCAGTAAGGTAACTTGTCAAATAGCTAGAATCGTATGTGGCAGAACACGGGTGTTCTGTGTGCTGAGTGTATTTTCCATGCCGTGTTCACTCTACTGCCTGTGGTGGCTACTGCATTCCGCAAGGCCTTTTCAAACACAATCTGTGTGAGCCATCTCCAACTTCCAGTCTGTTTCCTGGGCTGATTCCACAGGATTCTACTATTTAATTTATTGCCTTCTAAACAAACTCCTGTGACAAAGCACAGGCTTTGTCTCAACTCTCATTGGGTCATTTTTCCTTTGGGTTGCTCACCTCTGGCTCCATGAGGCATCAGATAAAGAGACCAGTGTTTGTATCCTTTGTTAATAACAAATTCTCTTTAAAAAATTATGCTATGAGGAAAAGAATAAAGTGTTCTCTAGTCATTGTGAAAAATATAGTGTGTTCACCGAAAACTATTGCTAAAAGAAACTGGTGACTGTTTTCCCCTGCCATGTAAGCTCCCTCCCAGGGGGCACTAGGACTCTGAGAAATGTATTCTGTAGGCTTTGCAGAGGACTATGTCTGATGTGTGGACCTAGACATATGTGATGGAAATGCACAAAAGCTAACCTTCTTTCTTTTATGCCCTTAGGAAGTAAGAGGAGCCCTGGAAAGGTAGGTTTCACTCTGTGTTCAATTATGTAAGCTCTGGGGTACAAAGTGGATAGAAGATTATGAGGTGGGGTTGAGACTGTTGATGTTGCCAGGTAGATGGGGTGGACTCTCAAGTAGGACCATTTCATGTGCTCTGTGCCAAGCAGTGACTGAGGATCTCCGCTGTCTTACAGGAGCGAGTCACGGCTGCTTCAGTGTCCAGAAGCCACCACCACACAACTGAGTCAGTGCCGCGTCACTGGAATGAGGGAGATGCTAAGAAAATTCAACAGTAAGTCAACCTATATGCCAAACCTACAAAGATTTCCCAAGTTAACTTTAGTGTACTTTGGAGGCTGCATAACTGAGCTCCTGGGCAGCTTCTTCTGACATAAAACGTTCAGCATCTAACAGTTGGAAATCGGTTAAGGTATCAGAAGCCTGCAGTAAACACCAGGCTGGGATCATACACAAGTCGGTGCTGAAGCAGTGACACTTGATCGATGCCTGACTTTTTCTGTGTAAGGAGGCCTGGGCCTTGCGTGTGTGTGTGTGCGTGCATGTGTGTGTGTGTGTGTGTGTGTGTGTGTGTGTGTGCGCGTGCACATACATGCGTTCACGTGCCTGTGTGGGTATGTGATGTTGTATAGCCTTGTTATTGCACCATACCTCTCAGGCAGAGATTGCTGCCTTTTGAGCTCTGTTCCTGTTAGGATAAAAGCTGATTTACTGAAGTCCAGTGAGGAAACATTCAAAGACTTTCTCTGTATAGAAGGCTCCAGATATTTAGACTGGCTAAGGCTATTAGCTCAGATTTCTGCTCCTCTTGCTGACAATCTGAACTTGAAAGAAAGCTGAATGAGCTTTGGACTTAAGAAATATTTGGTAAATGTTTCCTATGTGTCCAGAATTATGTTACAGAGCTCTGAATCTACTTACAAAGATGAATAAGACTGAAAAATGTCTTTGCTTTCATAGAATTTCCAGTAAAATTAAGAGGACAGACAATCACATAGATAATTAGGCATGGTTGGAATTTGGTTTATAAATAAAAGTGTGAACTTTTTGATGGTGTACCTAATCTTATCTGGAGAGTGAATGAAAGATGGAGGCTTCTCATGTGATCTCCTCCCAAGAGGGCAGGAGAGGAGGCTTCCCACTGGCTCACAATGTGCTTTGTCAAATTCTCACTGGGAATTTCACCACTGCACATGAAGCTATATTTTAGAATGGTTTAATGAAAAATATGGGTTAGGAACTGCTGTTCAATACCCCATACCTTTGTATGATGAATTTTCCCAATCTTTATGAACCTCAGTTTTCTTATTTGTAGAAATTAGAGAAAATAAAACTTGTAACAATTAGAAATAATGCATAGTAAATGTGTGATACATTAGAAAGAGGCGAGTAAGTGGTAATTGTCCCTATATTTTCCCATCCAAACTGAAGATTCAGAACCAACCATGGCCGACATGAGTGCCAACAGCAAAGGGTAGCTTTGTGTGGATAAATATTGAGTTCTTGAGTTTTAAAAGTGTCTTGAAAACACAGCAACTTACTTTCCACTATTAGAGATTCCTTTCTTCCTCTGAGGCTGACTAAATATGATTCACCACATAACTTTTTTCTGCTTCCAGTTAGAAGTTCTCTCACTATTTTGTGGAGCAGTGCAAAACGAGCTCAGAGATTCTGTTCAAAATAAAACGTGCCCAAATCCCACTGCATTCATCTAAATTGCATTTAAGGAACTGAACTAAATCCAAAGAACTGCATTTAAAATTCACATATATAAGAGAGTTCTCAAGGGTATCAAAGGAAGAGTCACTCTTTTCTCCTCTTGCAGCAGAGATCACTCTGGATCCAGCCACAGCTAATGCCTACCTCGTCTTGTCTCAGGATTTGAAAAGTGTGAGATATGGAGGAAGCAGACAGCAGTTACCTGACAACCCAGAACGATTTGACCAGTCTGCAACTGTGCTGGGAACTCAGATCTTCACCAGTGGGAGACACTACTGGGAGGTGGAAGTGGGAAATAAGACAGAGTGGGAAGTAGGCATCTGCAAGGACTCAGTGAGCAGAAAGGGGAACCTCCCAAAGCCCCCCGGAGACCTCTTCTCACTTATAGGTTTAAAAATTGGAGAGGATTATAGTCTGTGGGTCTCCTCACCTCTGAAAGGGCAACATGTCCGGGAGCCCGTGCATAAGGTTGGTGTTTTCTTAGACTACGAATGTGGACATATAGCATTCTACAATGTGACAGATAAATCTCTCATCTATAGTTTTCCTCCAGCCCCTTTCCAAGATGCACTCAGGCCTATCTTTTCCCCTTGTCTCCCAAATGAAGGGACAAACACAAACCCTCTTACCATCTGCTCACTGAATAGCTGCAACTGAGAGTCATGTCCCCAAGCCTCCGCCAGGGAGGAGGTCCAGGACCACCAGATGACTATTCATAAAAATGATGAATGCATTGCAGATCCTCATATCAGGTTATCTGAAAGAGACTTTCCTCTTAAGACTTTCTGTGAATCCAAGCTCACAATGAAAAGTCAATTAGAAAATCAAATTTAACATCAATCAAAGAAAGCTGATCATATCCAGCATCTTTAACTAAACTCTCTAGACTGCCCCATGTATTTGCTGATCACTCCAAATATAGACCTGGAAATAGGCTTATGATTCTGAATCCTATTCTCAGAGGCCAGTTTTATAAGTATATGTCATTTTTTAAAGTACATTTTTTTTCACTCACAACTGTGCAGTTTGAATGTGTGTTTGTCCTATATGCAAAGATCTGTATGTGGGAGCAATTTTTAATCTCCCCACTCTTTTTTAAAAATCAATATTCAAGTTTAATAAATATATAAATTTACAAATTGTGTTAACAGCTGGTTATAGAAATCTGCATTCCAAGTTACATAGACATAAATGAAATAGGTGTTCATTTCTATTTCCTAAAATTATTTAACATCTTAATTAGCAAAAAATAAATTTTCAAATCTTCCCATTTTCAGTGGTAGCCAGTCCCTATAGATTTACCCTAGTTTTCTTTTTCAAGTTTGGGGCTTTAACTCACTGTGTTTCATCCCCAGCCCTTTTTAATTTTTTTATTTTGAGACATGGTCTCTGTAAATTACTGTTCCCCAGGGTAGATTCAAACTTGCCATCCTCTGGCCTCAGTATCCCAGAAGTTCTATTTTGCTCTCTCCCCCCACCTTTGTGTGTCCATCTGTCCGTCTTTCTGAAACTCTGCCTTGCTCACATTGCAGAATGTCACCAATTTCAGAACATGCTCTGTTATTTCTTTTTACTACTCAGATAAATCAATGTCATAAAGCAGACAACTAAAATTTTCAGGTAAATAAAGTTTACTACAAGTTTTCTTCTATAAATTGTAGACTAGGCTGGAGAGAACTTGATAAATCTCTTAATCTACACACAACTCCATAAAAGGAAGTCAGTGAGTAACAGGGCTTACTTTATTATTATTTTTATTTTAAAAAAGGGTAAAACTAAACATAACAAAACAGATCAGAAGCAAAACAATGTAAGGGACATAGATTTCAAAGCAAAAAAACAGGAGATCCATAGTGGCTACCATAATGTTTCTTGTTTTCTTCTAAATAGTTGTCTGTATCTTCACATACAATGAATTCATACAAAACAAAATAGTATAAAACTGATCAGAACAGGGCAATAAAGGCAGTATAGGCCTTCAAAATCAGACAATATGAAAATTAACAATGGCTGCCATAATGTCTCTTGTTCTCTCCAAAATAGCTGTCAATATCCTCATGTATGTCGAAAGTAAACAATACAGAACAGACTAAAACCATTTGGAACAAAGAGTAGAAGCATTACTGTATTTCCCAGCATGATGAATGGAATCAGCAATGGATACCGTAATGTTTGTTTTTCTTCAAAGTAGCTGTTCATTTCATCACACATGATCAATTCTCCTAAACTGTTTAGGAGAAGTTCTAGGCATGTATAAGCCTCTACATGTGTACTTACCTTTTCTGCATTAGAGCGAAAGACAAAACAAAACAATTAAAACAGATTACTAGAAAAATAGGAAACAAAAAAGACAAATAACAACAGCAAAGAGCCCAAAACACTGATGATACAGGTCTTCAAAACAAGGTGTTAGGTTACTATTTTACATAGTGATCTTCAGGAACAGGGCTCACTTTAGGACTTGTGTTCATTCCTCCCTTTGCTCTAGAACTGCTTTTCTTTCAACCTTCTTCACTTCAACCTTGTACCTTCAAAGATGGAGAAGCAGATATAAACTAGACTTAGAATCTCAGAAAAATCATCTCCTGAGGATTTGCATGTTCATCCTTGCTTCGCGCAGAGTTGGAATCAGAGATCTGTGGGGTAGCAGGACCTACATGTCCTCTTTTGATGATTCGCTGCTCTATTATTTCATTGGCAGTTTTTTGTTTAATTTTTTTTATCCAAAAGCTAAGAAGCAAATCATAAAAAGCAAGCACCAACCACTTTGTATGTATTTTCCTTGATTACAAAAAAATGTGGGTTTTTTTTTGCTGGAAAATGAATATAAAAACAATACATTTTAATTTATTGTACACTGTATTTCATTCTAATAGGTCATAGCACCTTTTGTTTTCTTCTTTGTCCATGAAGAGTTGAGATTATCAAGGAAAGAAGCCTGCCCCTCTCCCCTGCAAAGTTAACCTGAGGGACTCTGCTGTAGTGGGTCTGTCAGAGGATGTATGAGAAAGACTGAATCTGAATTCCTTTTTATTGTCTGAGTTTATGCAACAACCATAAAAAAGTTGTAGCAAAAATATCTGTTTAGGTTTCTAGAAACGAAAACCGAGCTAAGCAGATGTGATGTGGTGCTGAGGAGGGAAGAGTCCATTCCCCAAATGCAAAGCTGAGAAGTGAGCCTGCCACTGTCATTTCCTGCACGGCTCAAGGGCCTCTGTCTCCCTGCTTCCAACTTTGAAGAATGGCATTTCCTTGAGGACGAATGGTGGTCCACGTGGGCCTGCTCTCACTCCTCAAGCTATCTTCTCTTCCCCTTTTAAGTGCTTGACTCCTCCCCCATTCCCACCCTCCACCCTCTATGATTTGATGGGAGTTTCTCCAGCAGGATCACTTCTTACTTAGAGGACATGGCAAAGCGGAGTCCATGATCACTGCCATTTTCTTCTCTACTTCTCCAAGCCTACCACCAATGAAGAGGGGTTACTTAGTCCTCAGCGCTTTTGTTCTTCCATGTTGGATTAGTTTCACTACCTTGTTTTTGATTTTTTGTCCTATAGTATCTTAAATATATGTAATATTCATTTCTGAAATCTAAGTTACCAATCAAATATAAGTTTTCAGGGAAGATCCTTACTTTTGTACTCTGACTATCTCCTGATGCTCCCACTCTAAGGACAGAACTTCAAACTACCATGCTTAGCAAGCTTTAGTAACTTCTATGATTGGATTATTTCCCAAGTCCCTTTTGCACTAATTTAACTCAAGAATGTGCTCAGTTCACTCTTAGATTTGTTCCACAGAGAAAGGAAATGAAAAACTTTTGATATATGCATGGGATAAAGCACCAATGCTTATATTCCAGCATCTTTATTATATCTTTTTTCCTCCAGGCAGAAAAGTACCCTGTAGACTCCATGCCTATGTACATGTGGTTTGCACATCTCGCTACAAAAGTCCTACCTGCCCTGCAGGTCCCTTAAAATCTTTCCTCTCATCAGAATGGTAAACACTAGCTTTCAGAAAATGAAAGAACCTGATTTTCACTGTGCTGTGTTTTGCAGGAAGCAATGTAATTATAACCCAAAAATGTATTTTTGGAAGACCTGGACTAGCCCTTGGGTTTGGAAATTAGTCAGTTTGGTTTGAAAGCTTGACTTCACTATAAATTAACTCTTTTAACTTACACATGCAGTATTATTTCAATTCTTATAGTCTTACTACTTCAAAAATTTGGGAAATATTTACTTGCTTGGTGACTATGTGAGAACACATAAAAGCAATTAATGTGTAGAGCTTGATGAATTTTTGTTAGTTTTTCCCTCCCTTCTTGCTTTTTTTTTTTTTGTCTTTTTCTTTTTTATAGGGGATCGAACTCATGACTGCCTGCTTGCAAGGCAGGTGCTTATGCCGCTGAGCTAAATCCCCAGCCCTCTTCCCCTCCCTTCTTTAAAGAATCTATTTTGTAATTATCCCCAAAGAGGACAGCTTGTTTGGAATATGGAAAGTGCAGGCACCAAAAGCTTTGAAATATTTTCAAGAAGGTGCTTCTATATTAGCAGGAAAAGGATTAACACAAAATTCAGGTAGAGAAAAGAAAAAACCTACTTGGATTATTCTCTCATGGAAGTCCTTCTGACTTCATGCCTATGAGTAGCTCTTTACTGAATTTAAAAGAAGGTTATACAATAAACAGTAAATAAGTAAAATAGAAAATTGTAAAGTGGTAGTCTCACTTTTCATCCTTCCGGTCTTGGAAATCTCATACCTTTGCTTTGGGCTGCTAGGATAGGGCATGAACTTTGCTCATTCTTAGCTGTGCAGCCACTTAAAGCACTGTAAGCACGTGGACAGGCTGATGTAGCTTTTGTGACCATCATGCTTCATCAGTGGTATTCAAATACATGAGAGACGTCCTGAGATAAGAATCTGTCAGCCTTGCTAGGGTATTGCCTGTGATGGTCACTACTGGTTGCGAACACTGCCATTTGCCAGCAAGAGCAAAAGCAGGGGCCTGAAGTCCTGAGCCAGCTTTCTCCTTGACACTCCCTGGATGGAGGAAGGCTCTGTGAGGCCTGAGACTTACTCAAATGAGTTTCATTTAAGGAAAATAACAAAAATTAACAAATTATAAAATTAGGTCCAGCCTCTTAGAGGATCTCATACAAAGGAGGGACCTGGAGTTCAAGTTTCATTGCTTCCTGGTACATTGCTTCCTGTGGTTTAGCTGGATGCAAGGCAGAGGAAAGAGAGAAAAGCAAGGCCTTGTAGGTATATGTTTGGCTCTGGGACCTCGACTAACTGTAGCACTCTAGGCGAGTTACTGATCTCCCTCAGAGAGAGGGGGAGAGAGAAAGAGAGATCAAAGTAAGTGGCAGTATATCAAATTCTGACTAAAGTAAGACCAAAGTAAAATCCAGGGAAAGGGAATTTTGTAGAAGACTTCACATGGTAATAAAGCTAATACATATAAACACACTATATAAAGTTGAAATGAATTGACAATTCCTGGTTTAAACTTCTAGGGGCAGGGAAAGAATTATGTGCTGCATATGATTTTAAAATAATGATGGTATGTAGATGTGTTGAACAATAATTTGTTGAATTAAAAGAACACACCCGCAAAAAGTTTTGAAGATTTAGTAACATTTAAAATGAAAGGCCAGAAGAACCCACTGGTCTCTCAGAGTTCTGCTAGGTACTTTGTTATCTCCCTTGATGTAACAAAGAGACTTGGTTATGTTCCTTACTAGACGCTCCCTGAGCAGATGGGCTACCATTGTCAGTCCATTCTGGAACTTCGTTGGCTATAGACAGCCACCTTGCCCAAGAGTATTTACTGCAATGACACACTAGTGACGGTGCAAAAATCCTGGATTACAGCAGGTCTACTTCACAGGGCCCTAATCTGAAAGGCATTTTAGCTCCAGAGCTCCCCTAGTCTGTGGTGGAGGCATCCTGTCACTGCACCTTAATCCGAGGTACTGCTTTCTCCCTTGTGTTTAAAAAGGTCTTGGGCCTGCCAACATTGCCTAAAAATTAAATGACCTACTTGCTAAACTTCCATTTAGCCTGCTTCACAG